GGTATAATTTAAGCTGCAAAACTTTTTTCAAATAATACTCAGTAATGATAATGCTACAGTTGAAACTATTTCACATATACAGTCTTGATAGCCAAGTAAACTGATAAAACTCTTTTGAAAGTGCTGTAAACTGAATTGTGTGTGCCCCCCATCCCACACCCCTACTTGAAGATTCACATGCTGAAGCTCTAACCCCCAATGAGATGATATTTAAAGATGGGCTTTTTGAGAGACAATTAGGTTTAAATGAGGTCAGAGAGTAGGGCCCTCATGGTGGGATTAGCACCCTTATAAAAAAAGATACCGCAGAGCTTGTGCCTGCACTTGCTCTCTTGTGCGTTAGCATCTGTTCTCTCTCTCTTTCTCTTTCTGCCATGTGAGTACAGAGTAAGAAGGTGGCAGTCTGCAAGCCAGTAGGAGAGCCCCAACCATGCTAGTACCCCTGTCTCAGACTTCTAGCCTCCAAAACTGTTGTTTAAGCAACTCAGTCTATTATATTTTGTTATGGTAACAAAAACTGACTAATACAAAAAGGCAATTTGAGATATATAAAGAGTAATAAACATATTCATCTCTTTTAATGCAGTAATTCTACATTTGTAACATTAACCTTTGGAAACAATTTAAAAATATGACAAAGCTATACACATGAAAATATCCATTACTTAGTTTTAAGTTTGTAAATCAGTAACAACCTAAATGTCTAACAATGGAGAATTAGATTAGTAAATTGTGGTATTCCACTTGATCTAATATGATTTAGTCATGTAAAGCTATTACAAAAACTATATAGGATTATAGTAAATGACTATAATAAAATTAAGTGCAAATCAAAAGCAAAAATCTATAATATGAGGCTATAATGTAAATAAATATGGACAAGTATTAAAAGGGTTAACTATAAATAAAATAATTTATTGGAAAATGTTTTAATTTAAAGTTACATGAAAAAATACTCCAAAATGTATGACAGTAACATTAGACAGATCTTTTCTTAAGCATAATCACATCCTAACTCTTCAATTACAGAGAAGGGACTTTTCTCTGACAGCAGCCACTATAGTATTCAAAAAAACAATAAAATATTTACATTTCACATAAGAAAACCATCAATTCTTTACTACATACTTTTTATTATATTACTTACATAGAGATGGTTTCCAAGGCATCCTCAAAGATGTCCTGAGGGGGAAATAAAAAATACAATGAGTTTCTCAAGAATTCTAAATGTAAAAGAGCAAATGAATTATGTGTATAAGAGGGAACAGTTTTGGTGGGAGGGTAGACCCTGCAGTAGAATCACTCAACTTGATTAACAGAATTCTGTTAATAAATCTAGCATATAAAGTTATTTTTTTTTTAATTAAGACTGGTAAGGACAGGGCACGGTGGCCAACTCCTGTAATCCTAGCACTCTAGGAGGTTGAGGCGAGAGGATTGCTTGAGCTCAGGAGTTCGAGACCCTGTCTCTACTATAAATAGAAAGAAATTAGCCAAACAACTAAAAATAGAAAAAATTAGCCAGGCATGGTGGCGCATGCCTGTAGCCCCAGCTACTTGGGAGGCTGAGCCAGGAGGACTGCTTGAGCCCAGGAGTTTGAGGTTGCTGTGAGCTAGGATGATACCATAGCACTCTAGCCAGGGCAACAAAGTGAGACTCTGTCTCCAAGAAAAAAAAAAAAAAGTCAATTTTATACAAACACAGACATATAGATCAAAGGAACAGAATAGGAAGCCCAGAAACAGAGTGTTATTTTAATGAACTTATTTGACAAAGAAGATACCATACATAAATTCTTTCCCTCATGGACTCAGCAGATGGTGTTGGAACTGTGGGCTAGCAATTTTAGGCCTGATGTGAGCTAGGAATCTAAACTAACCCCAACTGGGTCAAATGTAGGGTTCTGTTTTGTTGGGGTTTTTTCCTAGGATTTCATTTTTAAAAACTAATTGATGTTAGAAACTACTCGCAGTGCCTTTCAGACATCCCAAAGGTAAAGCCACTGCCAGCCTGCTGGAGCCAGTGAGAGCTTGGAGAAACACAAGTGTCAATGTGCACTGCTCATGAGTCTTGCTGGTCAAGTCCGCCAGACCTGCTCTCCTCTGTGGGGCCTGAGCCCCTTTCTGGTGTGTCTCTGGCAGTCTAGCTCCCCACTGGGAACAGCAGTCCCTCCACTGGGAACTCCAATCATTGGCCCCACAGCCCATCACCTGGACTGCAGTCTCCCATTATGGCCCAAGCTCGGTCCCTGCCCACGCCCAGGGTGGAGCCACAGCCAGGGTGGAGCAGGGTTGAGCAATTTTAAGATTTCTAGATGGTGCTAACTTGTTAACCTTAAAAGCAATTTTTAAATAATCACATAAACAGATTGCTTTCCAAACAGTACAGTGTGAAAAGGGAAGGGGGAAAAGATTAACTTTGCAGTGGAAAACCCTGGCAAACACTACCTCAAGCCAGGTGACCAAGTTCAACTTCACCAGTGGTAAGTCACATTGATATCATGGACCTTTGCTGTGATGTGACAAGAATGGCCCTTACGGCCTGGCGAGGTAGCTCACGCCTGTAATCCTAGCACTCTGGGAGGCCCAGGTGGGTGGATCTTTTAAGCTCAGGAGTTCCAGACCAGCCTGAGCAAGAGCGAGACCCCATCTCTACTAAAAATAGAAAGAAATTAGCTGGACAACTAAAAAATATATAGAAAAAATTAGCCAAGCATGGTGGCACATGCCCATAGTCCCAGCTACTCAGGAGGCTGAGGCAGAAGGATTGCTTGAGCCAAGGAGTTTGAGGTTGCTGTGAGCTAGGCTGATGCCACAGCACTGTAGCCTGGGCAACAGAGTGAGACTCTGTCTCAAAAAAAAAAAAAAGAATGGCCCCTACATCTGTGGTCTTGCTCCCAAAAACACATGACCTCAGTCAGATCATGAGGAAAACAACAAATTCCAATTAAGAGACAGTCTACAAAATAACTGTCAAGGTCAACAAAAGCAAGGAAAGTCTGAGAGACTGTTACAATCAAGAAGAGCCTCAGGAGACATGACTACTAAACATAAAGTCGTATCCTAGCTGGTTTCCTCAGACAGAAAAAGGACATTAGGCAAAACCTAAATAAATCTGAATAATGTATGGACTTTAGTTAATAATAATAATGTAAAAATTTAGATCATTAATTGTGACAAATGTACCATGCTAACTTAAAAAAATTAATAATAGGGAAAAACACATGTAGAGTATACAGGAACTCTCTGTATCACCTTCACAGTAATTATATAAATCTGAAACTGTTCCAAAGTAAAAAGGTCATTTTTTAAAAAATCCTAATGACAATTAGGTTTTATTAAAAAATCATATTAACATTCAACAACATAACCACTAAAAATTTTGGACAAAATAAAAATTTTAACCCTTTGCACTGGCTTGCTTTTTTCTTGATTCCTTTAGTCTACTCAGGATTTAATTTTTTAAATCCTACCCTAGATTTTACAAAGTGTGGCAATAGAATAAAAAACTGGAGTTTCTTTTCATACAAACTTATTTATTTGGATTTTTTTATATTTCAAATTATTGATACATTCAAAGAGTAATTTTAATCTCTATAATTTTTGCTAACCGTGTTGAGTCACACTCAACATCGAATGCAAAGGGTTAATTCTAACATAAAGAAAAATAGCAGTTTGGGGAAAAAATCTGTAGCAAATATGACAAAAGATTAGGGTACATATAATTTAAAGTACACAAGTACATAAGGGAAACATTGAGAAAAAAGTTAAGCAGGCAAAAGAAGACTACAAGTCATACAAAAGGAAATGCAACAAACAATGATAGTAAAGAAAAACTTTAAATACTAGAACAGGTATAATTTAAGCTGCAAAACTTTTTTCAAATAATACTCAGTAATGATAATGCTACAGTTGAAACTATTTCACATATACAGTCTTGATAGCCAAGTAAACTGATAAAACTCTTTTGAAAGTGCTGTAAACTGAATTGTGTGTGCCCCCCATCCCACACCCCTACTTGAAGATTCACATGCTGAAGCTCTAACCCCCAATGAGATGATATTTAAAGATGGGCTTTTTGAGAGACAATTAGGTTTAAATGAGGTCAGAGAGTAGGGCCCTCATGGTGGGATTAGCACCCTTATAAAAAAAGATACCGCAGAGCTTGTGCCTGCACTTGCTCTCTTGTGCGTTAGCATCTGTTCTCTCTCTCTTTCTCTTTCTGCCATGTGAGTACAGAGTAAGAAGGTGGCAGTCTGCAAGCCAGTAGGAGAGCCCCAACCATGCTAGTACCCCTGTCTCAGACTTCTAGCCTCCAAAACTGTTGTTTAAGCAACTCAGTCTATTATATTTTGTTATGGTAACAAAAACTGACTAATACAAAAAGGCAATTTGAGATATATAAAGAGTAATAAACATATTCATCTCTTTTAATGCAGTAATTCTACATTTGTAACATTAACCTTTGGAAACAATTTAAAAATATGACAAAGCTATACACATGAAAATATCCATTACTTAGTTTTAAGTTTGTAAATCAGTAACAACCTAAATGTCTAACAATGGAGAATTAGATTAGTAAATTGTGGTATTCCACTTGATCTAATATGATTTAGTCATGTAAAGCTATTACAAAAACTATATAGGATTATAGTAAATGACTATAATAAAATTAAGTGCAAATCAAAAGCAAAAATCTATAATATGAGGCTATAATGTAAATAAATATGGACAAGTATTAAAAGGGTTAACTATAAATAAAATAATTTATTGGAAAATGTTTTAATTTAAAGTTACATGAAAAAATACTCCAAAATGTATGACAGTAACATTAGACAGATCTTTTCTTAAGCATAATCACATCCTAACTCTTCAATTACAGAGAAGGGACTTTTCTCTGACAGCAGCCACTATAGTATTCAAAAAAACAATAAAATATTTACATTTCACATAAGAAAACCATCAATTCTTTACTACATACTTTTTATTATATTACTTACATAGAGATGGTTTCCAAGGCATCCTCAAAGATGTCCTGAGGGGGAAATAAAAAATACAATGAGTTTCTCAAGAATTCTAAATGTAAAAGAGCAAATGAATTATGTGTATAAGAGGGAACAGTTTTGGTGGGAGGGTAGACCCTGCAGTAGAATCACTCAACTTGATTAACAGAATTCTGTTAATAAATCTAGCATATAAAGTTATTTTTTTTTTAATTAAGACTGGTAAGGACAGGGCACGGTGGCCAACTCCTGTAATCCTAGCACTCTAGGAGGTTGAGGCGAGAGGATTGCTTGAGCTCAGGAGTTCGAGACCCTGTCTCTACTATAAATAGAAAGAAATTAGCCAAACAACTAAAAATAGAAATAATTAGCCAGGCATGGTGGTGCATGCCTGTAGTCCCAGCTACTTGGGAGGCTGAGGCAGGATTGCTTGAGCCTAGGAGTTTGAGGTTGCTGTGAGCTAGGCTGACGTCACAGCACTCTAGCCCAGGCAAGAGAGTGAGACTCTGTCTCAAAAAAAAAAAGCTTGTAAAATACTCAGTGGGCAATCAAGCTGGGCTAATTTAGGGTGTGTGACTTCTTTAATTCCGTTATCTTTCACTCCTCCAGCTCATTCATCCCAGATATAGAATAAAACAAATATATAACAGGATCTGCCCAACTTAGTCTTCTCTTTCTCCACAGCTAGCCGAGTGAGCCTCCTCTGGGCCACCTTTTCTCACGGAACTGCACCACCCTCCCAGCTGTTCTTCCTGCCACCAGCCTTCCCCAGCTTACTCAGTGCACATAGGATGGCCCTTTCCTTCAGGCCACTGGCCCCATCACAAGCCGCAACAGGAGAAACACACTTTTATGCACTCAGAACCCCACACACAAACTCTACATTCACACATAGACTCACAATCTCACAGTCACACACGCACTCCCAAGCACACATGCACTCACTCAAAAACTCACAAATACACAACAGCTCCCTCATAGCTGCAAAAATCAAACTTCCTCATCTAAATTTGGGGTCCATCATAACCCAGCCTAATCTTCAAAGCATCCCCACCACCACGACTAGGGAATGCTGCAAAAGCCATCTCACTGGGCTCCCTACTCCCATGCTTGACACCCTCCATTCGATCCTTCGAATGGGGGGGTAGCACAGGCTCTCAATGTCTTACTGCGGCATTGTTAACAAGCCTCCCACCCCCAGGCTGTCTGCCTCTATAGCAGGACGTACTTGGGTTTGATTTTGCTGTTTGCTCTCTGATTAGGGCCCAGACACTGTGAAGTTACATGCTAACTTACAGACTTCTGAACGGCAGAAAAGATTACCTCGAACGTTATGGTTTTGATGCTCTGCACGACATTACCCAGCTTTATTTCCAGCCTGGCAATCTTAATCTAACATTCTATTTTAGGCCCACCAATAACTACTTCCTCAAATACCCTCTGAATCAGTTTACCATCTCGCAGGTTTCCTCATCGGTAGGTGAAATTAAATTAGACAGCCAGAATTATTCTTTTCTTCCTCTTCTTTGAATAAGCACACATCATTCCAGGGCCCTAGCCCTCTTCCAGAGCTTTCCATTTCCCTTAGAATAGACCCCATGGCTTCCCAAACAGCCTCACCAGCCTCTGACCACATCTGCACCCATCCACAACTCACTCCATCTCAGCCACCCATCCTTCTTTCTGCTCCTTGCACAAGGCAAACTCATCCCACAGCTCTCTGTATTGTCCCCTTTCTCAGAATACTCTTCACTCCATTCTTCCCATGGCTGACTCCTTCCCATCCTTCAGTTTTCAGCTTAAAAAGCACCTCCTCAAGGAGACCATCTCTGATCCCCCTAATTAAAATTGCTAAGAATAGCAGCTTGCTTATAGTTTCTCATCATCTGATTTACTTCACTCATAACACTTACTGTAATCTCTAATCCTCTTCCTTGTTTACTTGGTTACTATCTGTCTCCATCAGAGCAGGCTCTCACTTATCACGCACACAGAAAAATTGCCAGGGCGTGAGCCAGCTTTGTTGCTCAATACTTGTCGCCTGATGAGTGAATGAACTGAGCTTGGACTGTCAAGAGACTCATGGTATCACACCTTCTTTAGAGTTATGATGCAGAAATGAGGAAAGAAGGTTAGAGATATTTTTCCTTGTGAGACCATTATACTAAACAATTTAGACCTAAATACTAAAAAGAAGAAGCAAAGTTATAGAGGGTGGCAGAACTGAGTTTAGAATTCTGGATCCCAGGCCTACTAATCTGCATTAGTATCATACTCTGTAAGGAAGATAAAATCAAGGCCAGCACGCAGGTTATCATGTGAAAAATTACGGAGAAGGGGGGGAGAATGTGCTCTCCAGAAACCCAAATCTGGCTGTCATAACTGAGCACACCTGTGCCAGAGACCAGCTCACAATCCCGCCGGCATCTCTGTTGACCCCACTTGCACTTCCCTTAACCAAGTAATGGGGTCGGGAAGGCCCCCGTGCATTCTCCCCACCCCTCACAAACCTCAACACGGAGACACTAAAGTACTTACTGAGTGGGCTTCACAAGAGATGACTTGGGAAGCCCGCTGCCATGTAAAGGAGACAAGGCTAATATTTTCATTTAAACAAGAAATACTCCCATCCCCAGCCTCAAAAAAATCAAGTAAGAAACTGTTTTCACTTAAGTGACATCTCTCCATTTTGTTGAAACAAATGCAGGGAGTTCTCTAAATAAAGCATACTTTGTCTACAAAAGCCTGACAAAAGATGGAGATTTTTCTTTTAAAAAGGGGAAAGGTAAAGAGCACAACTAAGATTTATTGAGAACCTATCACATGCCAGGCATTTGGCAAAAGCTCTCTCATTTGCTCCTCCCAATGTACAGCAAGGAAGCCCACTTGCACGTACTTACCTGCCCAACATTACACAGCTGGTAAGTGAAGGAACTGGGGGTCAATCTCAGGTTTCTTGAACTTCAAAGCATTTTTTATGTTCATAAAAACTATCCAAAGCGTGGAAATGAGGCAGTTGGGCAGGATGGGGAAGGGTTGGAGGGTGGGACATGGAGGGGTAGCACAGGCTCTCAATATCATACAGCGGCATTATTAACAAGCCTCTCACCCCCAGGCTGTCTGCCTCTATAGCAGGACTTACATGGGTTTGATTTTGCTGTTTGCTCTCTGATTAGAGCCCAGACACTATGAAGTTACATGCTAACTTACAGACTTCTGAACGGCAGAAAAGATTACCTCGAACGTTATGATTTTGATGCTCTGCACGACATTACCCAGCTTTATTTCCAGCCTGGCAATCTTAATCTAACATTCTATTTTAGGCCCACCAATAACTAGTTCCTCAAATACCCTCTGAATCAGTTTACCATCTCGCTGGTTTCCTCATCGGTGGGTGAAATTAAATTTTGACATGTTCATATTATCTTTATAAGAGTCATATTTCCAATTTGGGGAAACTGTAATTGGACATGAATAGCAACAACCCACTCTCTCCCTGGGTACCTGCAATTACAGGTTCCCAGGTCCTTGGGAAAACTGATGTGGATAGCATTTCATCACCTGGAGGATGAAATGCCAGAAGGCAAAGAGACAGCTCATGCCTCCCTCACCATAGCCCCAAGGACACTGGCTTTCCTTTTCCTTCCTGCTGCTGCCTCAGGAAGCCCCTTTCCTCTGTGGGATTCCCAACAGGACCCTTAGGCTTGGCACTTGATCTGCAACTGCATATTCTTCAGGAGCATAACTCGGTGTTCCTACCTATAGTCTCCTTGCTTCTTCACACTCACCACCAATTTCCCAGAGCCACGCCATGTTGGTTTCCATTCCCTAGTGATTTCCATAAGCTGGTTTCCCGTAAGTCCCCCAGATTGGGTAGGCTGACCACGGGTACTCAAGTTAAAACAGGCACAGTCAGAGAAGCATATAGATTATTACCAGTTTAAGGAAGGTAAGCTAGGAAAGCTTACGCTGCTGACAAATATGACGTGTTCACGGAAACCCTCAGCATTTAGTTCCTTCCTTGAAGGCAGCTGCATTTGTGTTCCCCATCCCAATGCCAGGGGCCAACCCTCAGGGGCTACTGCCCTTGGGCATGGTGTAGCAATGTTTTAATTGAACACACCTGGCTCCTAATCCTACAAGGTACCTAGTTTTTCCAAGAGCCTACCTGGAGTCAAGGGCCCATTAAACTCTTTTTGAATCTACTTTACAGCCCAGCACAGTACTTTGTACATCATAGACTCCTGGCATTTAATTGTTCTCTAACTGGCTAGCTGAATATCCTTGTCTTGAGGTGTAAAGTCCTTACCTTGAGCAGTTTCATGTTGCATATTAGCAAATGGGCTAACCTGCCAGGTGACAGGTTACCCTAGATGACCTGACAGATGTAAGGCTAGCACCCCAAGGCCTGCTCCCTGCTGGAAGGATAACCTGAAACTTACTCCTGCCCCCAGACAGATGAGGACCCTCAAGGAACTGACACAGAGTGGGGAAAGCTGACGGGGTACTGCATCAACTGTTTGGGCTTTTCCAAAAAGTTTCCACCTTAACTTGTTAATTTTGTCATATTCTGAGTAGCAAAAATACATGCAAATGCATATTTTAAGGGCCTTGTTTAGGTACCCAACATACAAGTACATTTAAGTGACAGCAGGTTCTTAGTAAGTGTTTATTTCATTTAAGAATCTTAAATAATGAAGATACTAATGATAAAAACGCTTACATTATTTTTATCCACAGGGAGGAGAACCAAACAGTAAAGATAACAGATATGTTGTTAACAGTAATAATTTCAATACTCTGTATTAATTTCCAAAGAAACCAAATAGCCTGACCAAACTTGTCAGGCTTCTCCATCAGAAATTTAATTCACTTTGTGGTATGAAAAGGTATGTGTGACAAATATTACTCCAAGAAGGAAAAGGAGGTAGGAAGTAACATGACAAAAATTAAAACTGCAAATCAACGAAGTTGAATCACTTCTCTAGAACCTCCTCTTCCTCTTCTCACTTACCCCATCCTTCTCTTCTTCCTCCTCTTCCTCATCCCCATCCTCCATTTTTCCCTCTTTTTCATATGGATAACATCATGGGCCTAAGAGTAGATGCTCCCATGCGTTCACTTAACCGTTACCCTTTAGCAGAACTGACAAGGTTTCATGGGGCTTGCTGACACCTCCCTCCTCAATGAGAACCACTCCCCCAGAACCAGACCCTTCCTCACTGGAACTTTCACCCAACATTCTACCTATTGACCAATGAAGCTGTGCGTGTGGTACCACGGACTCAAAGAACTCTAGAGCTGTTGGGAACTCTGACAAGTCACAGATTCTACGTGTGGCTTTGGGGCACATCTGACCATTCCCACAATGGTGAGACACAAAGAGGATGCCCCAACTTCCCCTCCCCACCCCAGATTAGGGCAAGGAGTAGGCACCATGATGTCAGGGTCCTAAGGACCCCACTCCTCCATATGGCATTCACCTCTGTGAGTCAAGATGTCCACAATGGGAAACCAGACTGACAGCAGCTATTATAATGATTATGGTAGTGACACACCAGGAGTATTCCTCAAATATTGAATGTAAATCTTTTCACACATAAAGAGAAAAAGCACACTGCTAAAGGAATCATGAGAAATATGTAAACTTACGTGACATCACTCCCTATTATAACAAGTGAGTATTGATTTTTCTAAATCAGGACAAATTAATTTAAAATATACCTTTATTATGTGTTTGTGAGTGACTTTCAGAAGAAAGACTGGGAAAAAAACATTTTTTAAAAAAATAAATATGTACTCTGAGCTCATCTGTCAGGAATAATGTTCCATTCTGCTCGTATCTGCCATTCAATTCTCTGTAATCTATTTGTCAAGTTCAAAAAGTAGCCCATGGTCTTCTGGAACATTTAAACTCCTCAAATGGATCCTGAGGGCTACCACCAGTTGCATCTTATATGCAGTGTTACATGTTTTAAATTCTTACTGCATGAGAGAGTGTCAATGTTCTCTGAAGGCATGGAGCAGGTGATACTGGCCAACACAGTGAGACCTTGGCCAACATACTCAACCTCTCAGGGCTGTAGCCTTCTCATGAATAAAGCTGGGAGGTTAGCATAGATGCCATCTCTTAATCCAAATCCTAAATTCTCTCAATTAAACAGAAATCTTCTGCAAGGCAGCTATTTGTCCATCACATACTAAAACTAAATTCCTTTAGGGAAGGTCTTCATCCAAATGGAACGTTGGGCTTTTTAACGGTTAGCCCCATCAGTGGTACTAACTTGATCCTCAATAGCTAGCTGGTGTTATGCACCAAGCAAAGCCATTCACACCTGATTCTTTGGAATTTCCAACCATGAGAATTAAAAATGAACCACCAGATGTCGCTCTCACAAAAAAATTGGAAATGGATAGCATTGCTTTCGTCTCTAACACAGAAATCAGTGTGTTAAAAAATGTTCATGAAAGGAGTAAAAATCTTCCCTTTCTGCATTTCATTATAAATATAAAGTTGAGGTACAGCTTAAGGCAGGGGTTAAGCTGCACCTCAATTAAGATCTTTTCTAAGGTCAGTACCTAAAAGAAAAATCATGTACATAGTCAAAATTAACACTAAACAAATACTTTAAATTGCCATTATAATAGGAATATCCATAGCTTTGGGCATAACCCCATAGAGGAATGTGCATGTACAAACATAAAATGTGCACAGTGATGTATAGTATATAATAAGTGCATATGTAAAATAAGTTTTTTTTACAATTGTGTAGTGAATTTCTTTAACATAAATGAACAAATTATTTTACTCTACTGTATATATTTCTCAGTTACTATTTTTATGGCTATAAAATGCACCCCGTCAATCACTTAATATGCCCAGCACCCTTGTCCTCTACTGTCAACACTATATTGTCTGCCTAATCTACCATAAACAGAGAAATAACCAGGGCATACTATTTTTGCAGGGGAGTAATTTTCCACAAAACAAACAACAAACAGAAAAAAAGAGACTGAGTTTTAACATTTTAAACTACTTAATTTTGAAATCATCACTAGTGGTGGTAATTCTAAATTAAAAGTACAGAGCTTTATGTAGCTTGTTTCTATGAAAAATGATCAAGTTCCATCTATCAATACCCGGGCACTACGTTGGATACTTATAAGCTTATTTCCAATTCACAAATAATCATAAAAAGTGAGCATTTCACCTCTACAATTACTACTACTACTATGTTCAAGAATAGTAACAACAATAACAGGTAACACTATTGAGTGCCAAGGCCAGCTCTAAATCCTTAACATGCATTAACTCATTTAATCTTCATAATATCTTCATAATAATTCTATAAGATAGAACTATTATAATGCTCAAATGAGGAAACTATGACTCAGAGATTTAGTTAATTTATCTATAACTGAACTTTGGTTTTTCCCTCTGTGCAGTGGGAATAATGCCATTTAATTTACAGCATTGTTGGGAGATTTAATTGAGATAACATGTAACATTTAATGTGCCTAGCACAATGTTGACACAACAGGCACTCTATAAATAATCTCTACTATTATTAAAGTGGTTCCACAGCTGAAAGTCTATGCAACCCAGGGACGGGCAAAAAAAAAACCTCTCTTGCATTATCTTGCTCCATCCTTGAACTTTCCAACTATAATAATGGCAGTTAGCATTCCTTCACCTGTAATTCTACTCCAAAGGAAATGTCTTAAAAAGAGAACATGAAGCCTTGTCACTTAATATGAGTGCCCATAAGAAGTTCCCAATGAGTAAGGCTTCAAAGGTGACTTCAAACTGAGAAATTCCCTAATGCAGGAGAGAAAAAGTAAAGGAACTCAAGCTTTACATGCTTGGAATCATCCTGCCTGGGTTCAAATCCCAGTTTCATCACCCTAGGTCACTAGCTTTGTGACCCTGAAAAAACTATTTTCCTTCTTTGTGCCTCAGTTTCCAATCTGACTAGGTTGTCCATAGATTAAATGTCACACGTGAAAAACATTTACAACAATGTATCCAGCATAAAACATTAGTTGTTATCACGATTATCATTGCAACTTGAATCTCTAAAGGCACTGCCAAGTGGTACTATGTGCTGCAACCCAGAGAAGGTTAGGGAGTGGACAAGGCACGATACTTAGCACTAAGAATCCAGGTTCTGCCTCCCTGTGGCTGACATACGTCTACTACTGCAGGAGTTGGAAAACTACAGCCTGAGAGCCCAATTCCACCTGCTGCCCATTTTTATAAATCAAGTTCTATTGGGTCAAGGCACAACAATTTACATATTGTCTAAGGCTGCTTTCCTGTACTAATCACAGAGTTGAATAGTCGCAACTGAGACCACAAGGTCTTCAAAGCCGAAAATATTTACTATCTGTCCCTTTATAGAGAAACTTTGCCTATCTTTGCACAAATGGATAAAACGTCAAATTTCCTTCCCTACCCATTGGATGCTTTGAGGATAGAGTGAGAAAAAAAATATGAAAAATCTATAAAAAAGTGTAAAGGGTTGGCAAATATAAAAAATTATTTGTCAAAAAAAACCCCACTGCCTTCAAGCTTTAAATTCAAGGGAGAAATAATGCTAAGAACACGAAATGTAGAGTCCCACCATCAGTTCCATCACTTATCAATTATATGTGGCCTAGGCAAGTTACTTAGATTCTCCAAGATCTATATTCATCCTCTGTAAAACAGGAGTAACAATAGGACCAAACTCATGAGTTGAAAGAATTAAGTGGAATGTATGTAGGGTTTAGCAGATGCCTAGTCCACAGTAGTAGTACTTAATAATGTCAGCTTTCATTAAAATACGACTTTCATCATAATTACTGCAGGGAAAAGTCGTGTGTCCAAATATTGAACCACTCGTACACTACCTTCCTTCCCTCTCATGGTACCTTATCCTCATAGAGATTGCAGGTATTAGCAAAGCATAAATGCTGAAAACTGAAATTTGTTCTTTGGGGCAGTGTAAGAGAAAAGACTAGGAGTTTCACATATTCTGCAAAACAATAATAAAATAAATTTTCTTTTAATTTTTAAAAGTAGAGCAATAGAACATAATAAAGAACACAGACACAGATTCCTGTACACATAGGAATTTAATTTATTATTCAGTTAAGATTTTACACTGAAGAGAGAACAATGAATTATTTAATAAATGTTGCTGAGCATACTTGTTATCTATTGTGACAAAAATGAAATTAAACCCACATATAAATTTTCAGACAGATTAAAGAGATATATATATATATATAAAAACTAAAGATGAATGTATGTGTAATTTTTATAATATTAAAGCAGAGACAATCTTTCTAAGCAAAACACAAAAACCAAAGTCATAAAGATAAAAGACTATATAAAAATTTAAAACTTCCAAGACAAGCAACTGGCTAGGAGAAAATAATTAAGGTAACTTTAACAGGCAAAAAATTATTATTCAGAAGATAAAAAGAACTCTTACAAGTCAATAAGAAATAGACAACCAAAAAGAATAGATAAAAGGTATGAAGTGTACTCTTCACAGTACAAAGAAATCAGTAGCCAATAAATTTGGAATTGTGCACTTAAAAGTCATATTATTTTTGCCCCTATGACCTGGCAAAAATTTACAAGATTGATAATACCCACAGTTGGGAGAAATGCTGGGAAATGAGCATATTATGATGCTACAGTCTATTTGGAAGTCTACCTTGTCCAGGCACGGTAGCTTGTGCCTGTAATCCTAGCACTCTACCAGGCCAAGGTGGGAGGATCGCTTGAGGCCAGGAGTTCAAGACCAGCCTGGGAAATAGTGAGACTCCATCTCTACAAAAAATAGAAAAAATTAGCTGGGCATGATGGCACTTCCCTATAGTCTTAGGTACTTGGGAGGCTGAGGCAGAAGGATCACTTGAGCTCAGGAGTTTGAGGTTGCAGTGAGCTGTGATGATGCCACTGCATCCTAGCCTGGGAGACACAGCAAGATCCTTTCTCAAAAAAAAAAAAAAAAAAAAGTCATGAATGTTGCAGTATCTATTAAAAATTTTAAACATATATACATTCTAATATAGAATTCTAGAAGTAGCACTGCTGAATTAAATTAAAATACTCATGTACCAAGATCCATCTATTATAGTACATACTATGTTGGGAAACAAGAAACTACTCAAATGATCTTCAGTAGGGAAGTAGTTAAAAAGAATTATGGTACAATTATATTAAATATTACCCAATTTTCTTTAGTCATTATTACATAAAGAATCAAGCAAACAATGAAAATATCTCTAAGATATATTAAGTAAAAACCTTAGTCCAGGTAAAGGTATATGACATAAGAGCCCATTTATATTAAGAAAAACCAGATTTGCACATATATATATACACACACACACACTATTTATATAAATGACTACAACTCTTACTTAATGCTGGTTTCTTCTGAGGAAAGGAAAGGACAAAACAGTAAAAATCATGTTTAGCATCTGAATGATTTAAATCTTTTACCACGAGAATGCTTTTAGGCATTACATTACTGTGTATGTAAAAAGGATAAACAATATTTTAAAAAGTTAAGGTATTACTTCAAGACAAGCAGATTCAACACACACAGAGAAAAATTTGTTCTATGACCAAGATCCCTTCACATCCTGTGTAAGTGAACAGCACTTTCAGTCTCTAGACAACCTTTTTTTTTAACTTTTATTTAGAAATAATTTCAAACTTGCAGAAGATCTGCCAGAATAAGGATCTACAAAGAACACCTGTGTGCCAGGTACCCAGATTCATCTATCACAAACATTCTGCCCCACCTCCTTTATAATCTGCTCCTCCCTCACCCTCGCCAGCTCCCTTTCCCTTCTTCCCTATCCATCAGTTTAGCTAAACAATACCTTTTTCCTCAGCCATTTGAGAGAAAATTTAAAATATTATTCCTTTACCTCTAAATACTTCACTGTGTATTTCCTAAAAATAAAGATATTCTCTTACACAGTCATCTACTTCCATAATTAAACTACTTTACACTACTTCTCGTATTCCAGTTTTGTCACCTGAACCCACAATGTCCTTCCCAGCATTTTTTCCCCTAAATACATGAATCAGTCGAAGCTCAGGTTTTGCATTTGGCTGTCTCATCTCTTTAGCCTCCTTTAATCTGGAACATTTTCACGGCCTTCCTTTATTTTTTATGACATGGACAGTTTTGGAGACACAGCCCTTTCTCTCTCTCTTTCTCTCTCTCTCTCTCTCTCTCTCTCTCTCTCTCTCTCTCTCTCTCTCATAGAAATTTTCTCATTGGGTGTAAAGTCAGAGAAAGAAAGAAAGAAATTTCCTCATTTAAAGTTTCTCTAGGCCAGGAGCAGTGGCTCATGCCTGTAATCCCAGCACTTTGGGAGGCTGAATCAGGAGGATCACTTGAGGCCAGGAGTTCGAGACCAGACTGTGCAATAGCGAGGCCCGGCACCTGTAGTCCCAGCTACTGGGGAGGCTGAGGCAGGAGGATTGCTTGAGCCCAGGAGTTGGGGTTGCAGTGCGCTATGATGATGCCACTGCACTCCAGCCTGGGCAATAGGCAAGATCCTGTCTCAAAAAAGTATTTTAAAAATTGAAAAATATGGCTGGGTGCAATGGCTCACACCTGTAATCCTAAACTTTAGGAGGCTGAGGTGGGAGAATTGCTTGAGTTCAGGAGTTCAAAACCCCATCTCTACAAAATATACAAAAATCAGCCAGGCATGGTGGCATATGCCTGTAGTCCCAGCTACTCAGGAGGCTGAGGTGAGAAGATCACTTGAGCCCAGGAATTTGAGGTTGCAGCAAGCTATGATCAGGCCACTGCACTCTAGTCAGGGTGACAAAGTGACTCTCAAAAACAAAAATTGAAAAATAAAGTCTCTTTAATGTTTCCTTGTGATTGGAGTCAGCTTAGCCTACTACAGAAGGGATATTTATATCCCAAGGCACACATGTTCATATGTCCCCACCTGTGATGTTAATTTTGGTCACCTGGGTCAAGGCATTGTCCTATTTCTCCACTGCATGGCCAACTATCTTCTTGAATTAATAAGGAGTCTGTGGTGAGGCAGTAGTGTAAGACAAGGTAAACATCATGCTTCTCACTCAAATGTGCCCCTAGATTTAGCACCTAGGGTGATGCCTGCCTAACTCAATCTTTATGATGACAGCTGAAAACTGAGTTTCCAACACCAACATTCCCTCCACTTCTACCAATTTGCCTCTGGCATTGTACTAAAGCAAAAGGCTTCTGTCTCCCCCATTCATCTACCTAGTTATTTATTTATCATTCATATGTGTGCAAGGATTCCTATTGTTTTCAGTGGTCTATAATACATGACTGTCCTTAAGTATCTTGGTGCTCAACTTGTCCCAAATTTGGCCTAGCTAACTTTTAAATTTCTCGGTTTATCCCCTCAGAAAATTCTAACACACAGACCTTGCTTACTGTCAGAATTTTGGCTTATCAAAGAATCTTATAAGGTTAAGGCACAGATAAATTTCAACAGTAAGACTCTATTATTTTTCCAATTCTCCTAATGAAAACTGAGGTACGTAGCCACTGACTTACATATTTGACACACCAATGTACACTCCAAAATGGACTTTTTTAAAATGGGGATATTAAATGATGTGCTGCTCTCTAAAGCTGAGTTTCCCTACTATTATAATTCTGATCTGTTCACTCATTGCTCTAAATGCTTAGAGGGGAAGGAACTTCAAGGGCCATCAGCATTTGTACGAGAATCATAATGCAGACCTCTAATACCAGACTCTTAAAATCATTTATTTTTAATTAAGAGAGAGAGAGAAGGAGAGAGAACTATCCATAGTGACAACTGGCAAAGAGTCACAGCCAATCTGAAAACAAAGAACTGACAACATTAAGAAAGCTGAGAAATAGCTAGAGACAACAGAACAGGTCAATCATAACAGAGTCTTGGAGATAAAGCAGAAATTTAAAGAACTTTGTAAAAATCACACACAGTAAGTAGCTCCTGAGAGCCTTACAGATTTGTGGCTGTTGAAGTGAATTGACTCTGGGCATGAATGAGGTTCCCTGTGCAAGATCTGGAGGACTGACGTCATTTTCCTGCCCCTTTCTGACATTTTCGGCTGTCCTGCAGCAGTGGGCAAACTGAGGTTGTTTCAAAAGCAGCGTCTCCAGCTTCCTGTGTATGCCAGACAGTGGCAACAAAAGCCTCCTCACTCGGGCTTCCCAGTCCCTGGATCATAGCTGCTGTGGAGTGCAGTAAACTCTAACCGTCGGCCAAAGAATACCAGCACCTCCCCTACGTGGATTAGTTCTAGCTCAACTGAGGGTCACTCCTGGAGCCTAAAACCAACCACTCCTTCAGCTCCTCCTCGCACCTAATTCTCTTAACTCTTCTTCCTTAATCTACCTAGAGCAGCAGTTTCTGTTTCCTACAACTGAAACTTGCCAAGAACAAGACAGATGACAGGGAAGAAAATAAACAAACAAGATCACAAGATTGTGATCATGGCTGAGAAGAGATAAACAGGATGCAGAGTAGAGAAAAGAAAAGGGAGGCTTTGAAGACGGGACCCAAGGAGAGGCTTACTCAGAACTTGACCTTCACAGTGAGGATGGGAAGTCGAGGAGCTGGTCAGGCTGAGTCAGCCAGGTTGGGAAGCAGCCACACCAGAGCACTAGGGTGGGGGAGAATTTGGCATGTTCAGGAAATCAGATGGAAGCTAGGCTGGCTACAGCAGAGGGAACAAGGGGGAGAAAGGCCACAGGCATGCTGGAGGAGGAAAGCCAGAGCCAGACCACGCAGGTCACAGAAGGAACACGGGTTTTCTTCTAAATGACAGGGAAAGCCACTAAAAAGTTTCAGCGAGGGGAGTAACATGTGATTAACATCTGAAAAATAGCACTTGGGCTGCAGAGTGGAGAGCAGATTGCAGAAGGCAGAGAGGAAACACGGAGACCGGCAGGACGCTCTCCCAGGAGCGCAGGCATGAGAAGAGGGTGGCGTGGACTGGGCAGGTGGTGATGGCAGTGGTGAAAGGGGGCCACGAGTCTACCTTGTGCAGGTAGTCTGGACAGGACTAGCTAATGGCAGAGATGTGGTGGCGGAGGAAAGGCAGGTAGAAGGGAGCAGAAAGGGAGAATCAAGGATGAGGCATGGAGAGGGTGTTGT